ATGTTTCTATATTATTTCAATTTATTGTCACAATAAATTGAGTACTTTCTTCTTTTTAGGGAACGTTTGAAACTATCTGTGACGCAAATTCTAAAATTTTTACTAATTAACAAGTAAATGAAGTCTCTATCTCTCTTATACAATCTAATGGGAGGGGCATATTCAATTAAAAAATTTAGGTGGTTTGTATTAAAATAACAAATCCATTGTTATTCAAATATAAAATTTTAAAAACTCTTTTAAAATTCATTGTTAATGTACTTGACATTTCATAAACTACTCTAAAATCCATTGTTAGTGAAAATATATTTTAATTTATGAAGATTTACAATTTTCATGTGATTTTAGAATATTTGACTGAAGTTTCTTAGTTAAAAATAAATAAAACATAAATCTCATTGTTTTAAAATTATATTCTTAGGTTTTTTAACTAAAAATCACTTAAAACTCTTCAATTCCTTACAATTATCTACAACCACATCAAAAAAATAAAATCACCTCAAACTTTAGATTGAATACATTCTCCTAAAAATGTCACATGGTTTGTGATTAATAACCTCTTAAACCCAAAGTCTTCACCGAAATAAATTTAAATTATGAAATAAACATTACAACAAAAAGAAAATAACCTCTTTTGTGCACAAAAAAAGAATAGCCTCTTTTTCCTTTTTAGGTAGATAGATACTTGAGCTTTGGCCCAATTAATTATATATCATAGAACTTATCTACTTTAATATTTTGAATGATTGAGCTTGAGCTTTGTTCATAAAAAACATACCTCTTTTTTTGGTAGATGGATGCTACAGCATTGCTCCAAAAAAAAAAAAAACTCTTAAACCAAAAGTGTACAAAGAAACAGCAGGATCAGAGAAGGAAGGCTTAGAGTTATCTATTCTAATATTTTGTTTTGGTAGATGGATGCTCGAGCTTTACGCATTTGTTTTGTGAATATCTAAACTTATATATAGAGAAACATATAGAAGTAAAACGAAATAAGATTAAAAGAAATGCAAGGAAAATGCTAAAATTTACAGTTACAAATTAATAATTACCATAGTAGCAATTATGGTAGTGGCTATTTTTTATCGAAGGTATTCTTTGAAGTTTTAGTTTCAGAAATTACATAATTTCTAGCAATACTAGCACTAAATAAAATAGTGTAACTATATTTTTTAACAATAATATATTAATGAAGGTTAATATTATAATTAATTATATATCATGGAACATAGCATAATTTTGGTAGAAAATAAATGTTGATCAATTGATAGGAATTTTCAAATAAACTTCACATTAAAAACTAATAAATAGTAAAATGATATACTGTACTAAATTTAGTTTTTAACTAAATACTTTGGCCCAACTCTTTATTTTTGATCAAATATGATTTTTTTGGTAAGTATAGTAAATTTTTTAAAATTAAATATAATGGAGAATAAATTTTTTTTTAATTACATTAAATTGGTTTTAATAGTAAAATATATATACTTTCTGTAAGTATAGTGGACACAAATGTATAAGGTTACTGTATTTAATTAAATTTAATTTAAAAAAATAAAATAAATAGTTCAGACATAATTTTAATACTGATATGACTTTAAAAACATATACTTGCATTATCCAACAAAAGACATAATGTAAAGTCACTCGATAACAAACAAAAAATAACATAACTGAAATTAGATAACTTATAATAAAACAAACAAATTAAAATATCTATATGGAAATACTAAAAATAGAACAAAACTCCATTAATAATCTTATTTGAAAATTTAGTTGACCCCAATAGAAAAGAATGATAAAAATTTAAAATGATTTTAATTAAAATAAAATTATTAAACTATAAAAACAGTTAAAATAATGAAACAAATTCATGCGTGAAGCGCGGACTTTTCCTAGTATTTCCTTCTATAAAAATATGATTTCTGCTATCTCCTTCTTATGAAATAAACTTATTGGCAAATTTTTTAAATTCAATATTTAAATCAAAACTTTTAATTATATATCAAATTTAGTTGGTTTAACAGTTATATGAATCACAAGCAACCCAATTAGTAGTGATGAGGTAAATACTTTTGAGATACTTTAAATGTTAAAATAATAATTGATTTACTAAATTTTTGGTCTTCTATTTTATAAAGATTAAATAAAATGTTATAAAGTATGTTAAAATTTTTAGATTTCGTATAACAGCCTATAATAAAAACAAATGTTGATGAGACTGAAGGAAGTAATGTAGAAAACTTCTAAAAAAAAAGAGATTAGAAAAAAACAACAAAAGAAGAAAAACAAAGAGAAAACGACAATCTAAATACAATGAAGGAAGCAACTTAAGAAACTGAACGGTAAAAAAAAAAAAGGAAGAAAATAATTTAAGGTGATTTTGTTACTTAATATTGAAATATTACACAAACACTAATTATTTTCAGACCATTACATAATATTTATCTGTTTTCATACACATTATATACTTACTACTCATTTAGTATATTAGTATTATATTAGATAACTTATTACAATACTACAGAAAAAATATTTTATAATATTTTATTTCAAAATAATTGTAACAATTAATACAAGTTTAATAAAAAAAAAACATTAAACTAGCAAAAATTAATGTCAATTCTTCATGCGCAAGTTGTTTCCTAGTATTCCCTCCGTTTCATATCAAGTATCGTCTTAGAGAAAAAAATTTGGTTACAAATTAGATATCGTTTTCGGTTTTCAATGCAAAAATTATTAATTTTATTCTGTAATTTATTTTTCTATTGGTTGAAATAAGATTAGGTATATAGGTAATTGTGTTTTTATATGAAAATATGTAAAATTTATTGTTTCCTTAATCTGTGTGCCGGAGTCTAAAATGACACTTATTATGAAACATGGATATTATATTAGAATAGTAAACTTATCATTATCTATAATGTATTATTTCGTATTAGTTTAGGAATTAGATTTATGCATCACTATATAAGCATATGCATATTCAGGGATGGAGCTATGTGAGGAGTGGGTGGGGCAGCTGGCTCCCATGATTATTTTTAGCTTGTGTATTTTTGTATATAATTTTAGTGATGCCTCTAATGAAAGTTTGAATTTGCAAATGTATTACTAGTGTTTTTATGGTTTTGTCCCAGATAAAAACTATTCCTTTTTTTTTAACAAAAGATATTATATTAATATTCATCCCAAACAGGAAATTGGTTAAGTGGTTACAATAATAAAATTGGACTAAAAAACTCAACTTATTAAACCAAAGTAAACTGGGTACAAACGAAAACCCTAGAATCCACGCGGCTGCAACCGTCCTTGAGTCGTGCCGCCTTTTCCTCCAGAGTTTCTGTTCGCCGCCTTCAATAGCTGGTGTCTCGAGTTCTCCCGGTCTTTTGAAACCACTGTGATGGCAACCACATGAAGACGATGGGGAGCGAGACCCAAAGAAGTCTCATGTGAACCTCACCGGAACTGTAGAGGTTGTTGGGACAAACCACCTCCACCAGCCAATCTTAATGCTCTGTGCATACCAACCATGACCGACGACACTGAGACCATGAAGCTTGACTTCTGCTATAACCAAAAGATCCAGATCTGACCAAACTCTCCTCAACTCTCACCGTCCTCTAGCGAGATCTCGAGGAGAAGAAGGCGGATCTGCCACCCACTTTCGGGACATCCATCTGACTGTCATGGCCTCTCGGTCTCCACACCATGCACAACTGGAGAAGGAGAGTGAGTTCCGGTGGCCACATGCATCTACAACCACATAAAAGATTCACCAAAAAAACGGAAGGACGGAGCCCTCGCACACCGCCGACATGAAAGTCGGACGGCAGAGAGGCAAGATCAAAACTTTTTTTAGAAGAGAGGTTGGAGAGAAAAAAAACTTAGAGAGAGAAAAAGTCCAAAAGTAATTTCGATAAAAAACTATTCCTAGATCTGCAACTGTGCATATTATAATATATTCTCCATGAAAGTCAATAAGAGCATCTCCATCAAAAGATTGTAAAAAGGGTTCACACATTTCCCAAAAAAAAATTAATATAATAAAGGCAAAGTCATGAACCTGTATCATACAAGTCCGCCGTGATGAACATGTATCGTCACTATTCCGCGAGCCTCACGAGACATGGCGGCCCGCGATTGGTCTGTTTATTTTTTTTATTTAAAAAAAAAAATCAATTTCTTCCCCAAGTTCATGGGGGTAATCTAAACTTCTTCCGATTCTCTATTCTCATCAATCTATCAATCTCCCATTAATATTTCATCTTTGTTTTATATGCTTATGATTATAGCAGCACCAGGCATGTGTCCAAGTATAATTATTTCTTTTCACATTTTGGACCTTTGATTATAGTAAATGGATCACGTATAGATCTCTGTGGATTTGAGCCAGGAATCGGCACGTGAATCAATTATGAATTTGATCAAAAGCATTTTATAGCACTGCTTTAATCTGGGATCCGAAATAGCAAGTCATGGATTATTAAAAAAAAAAAACAAGAAGTCATGGATTATTCCTCATTTGTCGTTTGATATATGAAACCAAAGAAATAAATTATAAGAATGAATCTTTCATTGAAAAAATAAGAAAACATAGAATTTATCAAAAAAATAAAATAAATAGAAAACATAGAATTGTTTAATTTTCTTACTTAGAATGCAATGAAATGATGCCATTCCAAATAAACTTATTTCAACTTTTGTAAGCTAGTAGGAAATTTACAAGAAAAATAAAAATGGTAGTATAAATTAGACAAATATATATATTTAAAAATTTTATTAGACATTGATACAACACAGTAGATAAATTTCATACTTTTCAAATTATATGAAATTAAAGTTAAACAATATAATTTTTTCTTCTCATCTTTCATACGTGAGACAAACAAAAAGTGAATTTTACAACTTCATCCCCCCGCATATTGATCCTACCGATAGTGAACGTTGTATTTTTCACCTTTTACATGGGCACGTACTAGTCTTTTTCAGTTTTATATGATTTATAGTCCAAGGTTGACGGGGACATTAGCTTCTTTGATCCAGTCAACGGGAGCCAACCAGTTAGCCACAGTAAATTGGTTAACCTCAGATGCAGACTTAGCGATCTTAACCCAGTCAACTCTTTTGTTAGTGATAGCTCCTGGTCCACGGTTGTTGTACTCAACGTACCTACATGTCTTGTGGAAACTCTCCCCATCCCAGATCTTCCATCCTTCTGGTTTAATCACATCACCGATCTCAGAGTTGATGACCACGGTGGTCGAGTACTTCTTCCACGGCCTTCCCAAGTATGACTCAACGGTTAACCTCTCTGCCTGTAGTTTCTTGTCGGGAACGATGCGGCAGTTCTGGAGGACGATACCGATTTTCATGGATAAACCCTTTTCGTTTCCGTCGGCTGTGACGGTGTTGAATTGATTCTTGTTTCCTTTACGGACAACAATCATTGAGTTTTGGATAACGGTTGCGCCTTTTCCGAAGATGAAATCGATTGTTCCTGAGACCACAATGTTTCTGTAGAACTGACGACCATTGTTAGCGTATAGAGTGTCTTGGTAACCATCGAATCTACAGTTGAAGAGGACTGCACGGTCTCCATTCACTCTGATTGCCACGGCTTGGTGTCCCATTGGACCAGCTGTGTTCTTGAATCCGATCCATTTAGCCATGAACCCTTCAGATTCCACCTCTACACAAATACAACATTACATGTAACAACAATAAATGAGTTATTTATATTATTGAAATTTGTAACAATAATAATTAAGTTAGGGTTAGGGTTAGGGTGAGACTTACGGACTGTGCCACTAAGAGAAGTGGTGGTTCCAGGGGTTAGTTTAACACTTCTGTTGAAAGTGATAACAGTCTTTCTTGCACCATCTCCGAACATGAAGATGTTGTTCTTTTTCTTGGGGATCACAACTTGCTCTTTGTAGATACCAGCCTTGATGTGGATAATGCACCGTCCTGGGTTTTTCTCGGGACAAGCATTAACGGCTTGTTGGACCGACTTAAACTGACCGCTTCCGTCCTTAGCCACCACATAGGTTGCTTTGATTCTAGCACCACCTGCGCCGCCCTTTTCGGCACGTCCAGCGTTAGCCATCAGCTTCCTGTCTGCACCAGAAATCCAGCTTGGGACTCCAGTCTCGTCAATGTCTTCAAGAAGACGACGTGCAGGACCATCTGGATCGGCCACGGGAGTATCAACGGCAGCAGGAGTGGCTTCTTTCTTGGCGGGAGCTGATCCTTTCTCGGAGGAAGAGAAGAATCCACCTGTCATGTTCTTGAATTCGTCGACTTTGATGTTAAGCTTGGCCATCGCACTGACGACTGTGTGGAAGATGTCAATAGCGTTGCCGGTGAGAATCTTGGAGGTTGCAATGCCTTCTCCAATAGTTTTTCTCAAATCATCTTCTTCGATATCGTCAAGACAATCGGTTTGGTAGTTGTAAACACCGGTTAACCATTGTTTAAGCTGGTCGATTTTGCTACCGATCTGGTTAAGATCTTCACCCATTTCCTCAACAATGGTACCAAGATCCTCAAGCGCGTACATGAAAACTCTCTTGCAGTAATCAAGAACGGCTTTGTTGTTTGGTGAGATGCTTGAACCCATTTTACTTTCGGTTTTACCCGTGAAGTTTGATGATTTGGTTATAGCATCTTGTGTAGCGAGAATGAAGGCCTTGATCAGTTTGTTTGGGTCATCGCTCTTGACTGGCTCGAGTGTTTTGACACATGAGGCTTTGTCAGTAGTCGCCTGGCAAATTCCTTGAACGGCTTTCATTTGTGGAGACAGGGGAGTATCGTTGTTTCTGTTAACGATGGCAACGACTCCTATGGCTACTCCGACTAATAAAAGGACGGACGCCACAGAAACAACAACTTTACCTATCATTTTTATATTTTATTATATTGTTTCGTGTATTTTTGATATTTTTTTTGGCTCCCTCCGGTTTTATGTAGAGGTTAATGAGAGAGGGAGGGGCTTTATTAGAGAAAAGCCAAGTTGTTTAATGACTCGGGCCAGTGAATATTGTGATGGATTCTGGAGGCTTTATAGTAGCTTTTGGTATCTAAAAATAGCTACGTGCATGGATTTTGCATGGTGGGAGAGATTTACGGTCGACGGATGGCTGATAATATCTGCTAAAAAAGGCCTAATTTACTAATGACACTATGAAAATGCTTTATTGTGAGGTTTAAAATTGGTCAACGAAAGATAAATATGGCGTACATTCCTGGTTGGACGGTGTGGTGGCTTGATTGACTACAACTAGAAATGACATACACATAGATAATTAACAAGTGAGTTAGTTAACAATATAATTAAGTGATATTTAGGGTTCCTCCCACAAATTGTGGGACGGATCTAGGTAGCTAAGGATGGGTGCAGTATCCCCCACTAAAAATTAGAATTAAATTTGTTTGCGTTAGAAAAATCATATACAGTAGATACTCTATAAATTAATACTCGATAAATTAATACTTGATAAATTAATAATCTCTATAAATTAATAAATTTCCCCGGTCCCAACTTGGGCGTATGTAAAATATGACACAAATCGATAAAATAATAAGATAATAATATTTTTAAAACTACCATGTAAATATATGGTCCCACTAAAATCATAAATTAATAATCTAGCTATATATAATTTTATATAAGTACAATCTAACATTATATTGTTGGTTTTATATTTACTATAAAAATAATTTTATTTTTTTAAACATTTCAATAATTTTGATAATATTTAGTTAGGGGTTTTATATTTACTATAAAAAGACTTTGATTTTTTAAACATTTCAACATATTTTGATAATATTTAGTTAAATTATATCGAAAACCATGTAACAATTCTATGAAACATAAAATATACACCAAATAAGATAATAAAACAATATAAAAGTCAAATTTCTAAAATTTAAATAATGTACATATGCTAAAATCAAATATAATTTTTTATTTTATAAATAAAAATGGAAATTTTTTTAAAAAAATCTAAATAAAGAAATTTTCATAAATTAATATCTCTATAAATTAATAAAATTTCAAAGTTCCAACATTATTAATTTATAGAGGTTTTGTTGTATCTTGTTTTGATCAAAAATAAGTTGGAAACCTCCAACCGACCCTTTTACAGTGTTTCTTATTTTTAAGTTGGTTTTTATTTGGGAAGTTAACTCAACTAGTATGAATGTTATTAATTATTATCACAACCATACAAAACTTTTTTTTATTACTACCCTTTTTTTAATACCCAGCGTGCCCTTTTTTTACGTAGTGAGAAAAAACATATTTACGAGAATGCCATTACTTTTTTTGTGCCACGTAGGCAAAAAATCGGGTCCACGTAAGAATGCGGCATAAAACTCAGCCTCAATACGATATGAACTTCGTTACGGCCGAGATATAGGTGTGATGCGGCTGACTTAACTAACCTAGCTGACTTATGAGAAATAAGCTGAGTTATGAACATAACTCAGTCGATCGTTACGATTGACTTAAAAAAATCTGGCTGGTTTATTTGATAACGGCTGAGTTACGGTCAGATATTACGACTGACTTATACATCCTTAGGCTGGTTCCTGGAAAATCCAACTGAGTTCTAGTTACCGGACGGCTGAGTTAACTATCACGGCTGGTTAATTGATCGTCGACCGGCCGAGTTATGAGATGTTTTTACAGCTGAGTTATATTTAATCAGCCGTCATAAAGTGGAGTAACAGTAAACTCAGCTGATTTACGGCTGACTTTTTAGCGAAAGATTAATTACTAGAATAGCATTCATTTGCCGGCTGGTTTATTTAACGATACAGCTGACTTCTTGCGTTTCANTATATTTAATCAGCCGTCATAAAGTGGAGTAACAGTAAACTCAGCTGATTTACGGCTGACTTTTTAGCGAAAGATTAATTACTAGAATAGCATTCATTTGCCGGCTGGTTTATTTAACGATACAGCTGACTTCTTGCGTTTCATCTCTGTTATGGCTGATTGTTAACAAAAAGTTAATTACTAAAATAGTATTCACGTTGTGACTGACTTACGGTGTATTAAGTGGCTGACTTATTGTGGCTGACTTAAATGTTCGTTTGGTGGCTGAATAACTGATTTTCCATGTCATCATCCATGTCAGCTTTTATTTTCCATGTCATTACTAACTACAACAACGAAATTAGGGTTTATGTTACAGACGCCGCTATATGTTCTTCACCTTCTTCTCTTTCTCTAAAATCTTATGGATCCAGTAATTATTGTTTCAGGTAACTGGATTAAGAAAAACAGATATGTATTCACACCCGACCGTAGAGGATGTATTGTTCTGCATGCAGATGAGAAAACAACACACGACGAACTCGCAAAGTCAGTACTCGATGATTACGGATTGAATGAGTCAAGCCATCAGATTCAGCTAAGCTACCAGTTCTCGAATAAAGCTTTGAAAACAATGGCTCACGACACGCCACCAGTTTACATCTCCAATACTCGTCAATTGCAAATATTTTTAAGCCTAAGGAAAACCGAAAGATTACCTCTCTGTGTAGAGATTACAGAGAACGAGGATGATGAGATCAGCCGGAAAGACGGAGCGGGAGAAAAGAGTAATATATTATACAGTTTCAGCTCAGAAGCAGAAGTCTCAGAAGTTTAATCTAGATACGATGGTTTTAGTTTGGAGGAGGAACATAACGACAATGAGAATATCTTGGACGGAGAAAAACAGAAAGATGTTGGAGAAGATGAAGAAGGCGAAGAAGACAGTGAATTTGATAGCCGATTTGATATGTTCGACGACTCAGATGGTGCGTCATCCGAAGATGATAACTTTAGCTCATATGGTGAGTCTCCNGACCGGATCTAAGGGGGATTCAGAGGTTCTAAGGTTGGAGATGTCTTCGCTAAACCTTGCTGTTGGGCAACGATACCAGAGTAAAGCTGAGTTGGAAAGACGATTGAAACTTCTTACAGTGAGAGATCAATTTGATTTTGATGTGGAAGTATCCAATCCAGATTTACTCATTGTTAAATGTTGGGTTGGTGGATGTCTCAGAGTTTGTGCTTCAACACAAGGGGATTCCCCGACATTCTATGTTCGTATTTACGATTCGGAACATACATGTTCTGTAACTGAGCGTTCTAATCGATCTCGACAAGCAACACCAGCTATTTTAGGAGAATTGTACAGAAAATTTCTCGGCGACGTTGGTCCGGCCGTTCGACCTACGAGTGTGGGAATAGCTCTTAATAAACAGTTTGGTCTCAAGGTAATTGTTGTAGTATGGCTGACTTATATCAACGTTACAGCTGAGTTATATCTACACTTTGTGACTGACTTATATTAACGTCCGGCTGTGCTAGTTAAGTGATAAGCTGAGTTATATAAACATCGAACGATGCGGCTGAGTTAGTTGAATTATCTGGCTGGTTTATTTAAACTTCAACGTTTCGGCAGAGTTAGTTAAGTATATGGGCTGGGTTATGTATACGTTACGACTGAGTTATTTAAGTTATCCGACTGAGTTATTTATACGTTCAAGCTGAGTTACTTAAGTGATTTGGCTGAGTTATTATTTGTATTCATTTGCGCAGATGGATTATTGGAAATCATATAAGACTCTGAAATCTGCAAGGGAAATCGATATGGGAACACCTGAGAGTGGTTTTGAAAACTTGCCTTCTTAGTTATTCATGATTAGAAGAGCAAATCATGATACAATCACTCGTCTTCAAATCGATGAGTTTGGAAGATTCTTGTATGTGTTCCTTGCGTTTGGCGCGAGCATAAATGGGTTTCCTTTCATGCGCAAAGTTGTGGTTGTCGATGGTACGTTTATTAATGGCAAATACAAAGGGACGCTTCTAACAGCACTAGCTCAGGATGGAAACTTTCAGATTTTTCCAATCGCCTTCGGTGTGGTTGATACAGAAAATGACGATTCGTGGAACTGGTTTTTTACGCAACCTAAAGTTTTGATTCCTGACGACAAGGATCTTGCGATAATCTCAGATAGGCATAACTCGATTGGGAAGGCTATTCGAAATGTGTATCCGCTGGCTTCTCAAGGAATTTGCACGTACCATTTATATAAGAACATTTTGGGACGGTACAAAGGGAAAGATGTATTTCATCTGGTGAAGAAAGCGGCAAGATGTTTCAGGATGCCTGACTTTAATGCAATGTTCGAGGAGATTGAAGCTATTAATCCTGAGCTTCATGGGTACCTCCAAAGAGCCGATGTCAAACTGTGGGCGCGTGTTCATTTCCCAGGCGAAATGTACAATTTGATGACTACGAACATAGCGGAATCAATGAATAGAGCATTATCAAATGCTAGAGGTCTTAACATTGTTCGACTAATAGGATCCATACGGGGTATGATGACCAGATGGTTTGCTGAACGGAGAGAGGATGCTGAAACGCAACGAACCATGCTTACACGTGCTGTAGACAAACTACTACTTGTAAGTCAGTCGTACTTATTAAATAAGTCAGCCGTTTCATTTAGTAAGTCAGCCTAAGTAGATATTATAACTCAGCCGTATTAATGATAAGTCAGCCTAAATAGGTTTCCTAAGTAAGCCGTATCAATAATAAGTCAGCCTAAATAGATGTCATAAGTCAGCCTAATATTTTAGTAAGTCAACCTAAGTAGATTTCATAACTCAGTCTCTAATGTTTTTCATTGTTCAATTTTTATTTATAATAGGGTCGTGTTACTACCGCGAGACTGTTGACTGTACAAAGAATCGATACTCATCACACTGAAGTTACATATAGTGAGTCTTTGCATGTTGTTAACTTGGAAGGAGAAAATTCACATGCTGCCGTTTCCAGCTGGAGAGATACCATGTTCGCATGCAATTACAGCTGCGGAGTCCAGGAATGTTTGTCG